TTAATGTTCTCTTCTACTAGTTCGATCATCTCTGTCATCTCTAGGTCTGTTCATTCCCCCCCTCGTTATGGGTCATATTTTCCTGCTTTTTTCTATGCCTAGTAATTTTTTATTACATACAAAACACTGCAAATTTGACCTTGTTGTGTGTTGGATATTTTTTATTCCTTTCAATATTTTTGAGCCTTGTTCTAGGATGCAGTTAAGTTGCTTGGAAATAGTTTAATCTTTTTGAGGATTGCTTTTAAGTTTTATTAGGTGGGACCAGAGTAGCATTTGGGACTAATTTTTCCTTGCCACTGTCCCTTGAATGACTAGGTTTTTCCCCTCTGGGTAGTAGGATCACAAACTATTCCTGACTTTGTGTGAGCACCAAGGAGTGTTCCACCTGCTCTTTTTCTTGGGTGGTTTCCTTAACTCAGGGAGACTGCCAGGCTCTGTGCGGGTCACCTCCTCCCTGTGCTGTTGCTATGAAGTCTTTCCAGATAGTAAGCTCAGGCAATCATAAGACTCACCTTGTTTGTTTCATGTCTCTTAGTGATCACTGTCCTGCACTGCTTGTTGTCCACTGTCTGAAAATTGTTTCATGTTTTTGTCTGGCTTATTAGTTGTATAAGATAAGAGGGTAAATCTATTACTTGTTACTCCATCATGGTTGGAAGTGGAAGTCTTTTCTGATTTATATTTTAAAGGGTGTTTTGTTGAGAACAAATTATAGGGGAACAAGAGTGGAGGAAGCAGGAATATCAATGAGGAAGCTATTTTACTTAATTCAGATAAGAGATGGTGGTGACTTGGTCCAAGGTGGTAGTGGTGAAAGAAGTGAGAAATGATCAGATTTGGGATATATTTTGATGTTAAAGCCAACAAGAGTTACGATGGGTTGATATATGAGAGAAAGAGGAGTCCACAATGACATGTAAGGTTTATATTATCTTCATTTTATATTTGAAAACACCAAAACATGAGGATTTATGAGACTTGCTCAAAGTCAAACAGCCAATCTCAAACTTGGATCTTCTAATTCCAAAGCCCTGTTTCTTTCTACTGTGCTACACTGACACTAAGAACATGAGCAGTATAAGCCACACTTGCTAAAGGTGTTCAGAGAAAGGAGAGACATCTTCCTGCTTGAAAGAATAAACGAGAATTCACACAACACCTCATTTGAGCTCATGGTCCCTAAGGAACAGGTAGATTTGGGTAAGTCAAGGAGGGAGGGCATATCTGTTGAGGGAAGTGGTGTGAGCCGAAGTACAGAAGTCTTTGAGATATCTTTCTGCTCAGGATTCCCTTGGTCTGGGTAAGCTTTCCAAGGGTCAGTGTGGTTTCATGTGTATATTCTGTAAAATTTCTCATGTTCAAAACTGAAGGGCCTAGAGTTTATTTTCTTGAGAATATTTATATCTTATTTGCTCTTAGGATAAGGGCTGAATAAACATACTATGTTTCTTTTAAAGAAAACCCAAAAGGCAAAACCTTATCAAGAATCTTGACTAGGGGGCCAGCCCGTGGCCGAGTGGTTAAGTTCTTGCTCTCTGCTTTGGCAGCCCAGGGTTTTGCCAGTTCAAATCCTGGGCGCGGACATGGCACTGCTCATCAAGCCATGCTGAGGCGGCATTCCAGATACCACAGCTAGAAGGACCCACAACTAAAAATGAACAACTATGTACCGGGGGGCTTTGGGAGAAAAAGGAAAAATAAAATCTTAAAAAGGGGAAAAAAAAAGAATCTTGACTAGGAAAAAATAGATTCTTTACAGTAGGATTAATTTAAATGGCCACGGTAAGGAGTCTGAATTATATTCCAAATGTTATGGGAAGCCACTGAGAGTTTTTAAGTAGGAATTCACTTGATCTCATCTGTGGTTTTTCAGCTATTACTCCAGCTGATGGGTGATGAATAGACTGGTGGGGGCAGGAGGGTGAGCAGGAAGAATCAAAGTGGAAAGAAGATCATTCAGAAATCTTTTATAGACTTGAACTGGGGTGGTAGTAGTAATAGAGGTAATGAGAATTATTTGGACTGAGGATATATTTTAAAGGTATAATGCACAGGACTTCCTGGTTGTTTTGGACATGGGTGTGAAGAAAAGAGAAGAATCAACAATAATTCATAGGTGTTTGCTTGAACATCTGGATGAATGGTGGTGCCATGTAATGGTGCCAACATAGGGAGGAGTAGCAGGTTTTAGAGGGAAATTCAAGAGCTCTCTTTTGCAAATATTAAGTTTGAGGTGCCTTTTAGACATCCAGTTGGAGATGTCAAGTAGGCATTTGGATATGTGAGTCTCGTGCTCAGAGAAGAGAGCACAGAGTTAGCAATAAAAAGCTGGGTATCATCAGCATCCTAGATTTAAAGCTATGAAACTGGAAAAAAAAAACGTTGTTTAGGGAGAGAAGAAAAGATATTTCAGATCTGGGTCCTGGAGTACTAAATGATTTAGAGGTCAGGAAGAGAAGAAACAAGCAAAGGAAAATGAAAAATGAGCAGTTAGTAAGATAGGAGGAAAACCAGGAAAGAATCCTGTCCTAGAAACTAAAGAGAAGTATCTCAAGAAGATTTACACAGATATTAGGTTGAACAAAAGAAGCAAAACACAAAAAAATACGTAGTGTGTGTAATTCTACTTATAGGAAATCCAGCAAAACACAATTAATATATGGTGATAGAAGAAAGTGGTTGTGGGACAGGAGATTGACTGGCAAGGGGCACATGGGAACTTTCTGGGATAATAGAACTATTCTGCCTCTTGTTTTGGATATTGTTGTGTGGGTGAATACAATTGTCAAGGCTCATTTAACAGAGCATTTAAGATCTATATATTTTATAAAATGTAAATTATATCCCAGCTCTTTTTTTTAAAAAAAAGGGAATTGTGACTGTCAAATGATGTTAAAAGGTTACATAAGATAAGGACTGAGAATTGACCATTCTCATTGGTGACTTTGATAGCAGGGGTTTCAGTGGCAAGATGGGGATGACTGCCTAGAGTAGGCTACAGAGAGAATAGGAAATGAGGATGTGAAGATGACAAGTACGGAACCCCTACATGGAATTTTTCCTAGACCGAGGAGCAAAGAAATGGACCACTTGGGGGAGCTCTATGAAAGTTTTTATTTTTATTTTTAGAAATGACAGCGTGTTTTCATGATGATGAGAATGATCCAATGGGAAGTAGAAATTCATGGCATGGGAAGGGGAGGGCAATGCAGGTGCAGACTTCTGGAATGGGGAGTCGGCGGAGTTGGCTTTGACAGGAGCGCGGTCTTTCCTTCTGCTATTACAGATAGGAAAGTATATGGATACGGATTTAAGCTAATAGATTTTTATGACAGGAATAAGTATTGCTTCTTTTTGTGTTGTGTTCTTTTTACCCCCAGTTGAATAAAAAAGTCAACAGATGAGGGTGAGATTTGGAGAAGGAGTGCTGGACGTTTGAGAAGATGTGAATTAGTTGTTTTGGGGAGAGAGAGAGCACATTTCCTATGTAAATGTAGCGTGGTTGACAAGACACACTTGACATTCATCATCATAAATATAAGGAGATGCCAGCCAGATGATTTTGAGCTTTTCTTCAGTCCCCTTCAGCTGCCCGAGTACAGTTGCAAAATAGATGCAAGTTGCAACTCAGTTGCAAGGAGTAGAGGGAGGCCGTGTCAAATTAGAGAATGGGAGGCTTAGACATTTAATGGTGACTGAGGTAATGAGGCTGTTAGACGTGATTAGATTAGTCCTAACAGTTTCTTGGACAAAAGTGCTTATCATTTCTAATCATAATCTCGTTCTTGAGATTGAGCTCAATCCTTCCAGAGGTTTCTCATCACAATCCCAATAGTTCTTTGTGGCACTCTGTCAGCCCTACAGAGTTTGGCTGTGGCCAGCCCCATAGCTTCTATAACCTACTTCTTTTCCTATCATTCTCCCCTCTTCCCCCGCGACTCGACTTCTCTGCTATTTCTTGAACATTCTCTCCTCTCTCTCTTTCTTCACAGCAGTAGTTACTCCAGTTTGAGGACAGAGACTTTCTCTTGTTCCCTACTGCTTCCCTAGCATCTAGAACAGTGCCTGGTGCATAGTTGGTGTTTAGTAAATATTTGTTTGGATGAACATAAATGCCAGGCACCCCTGTGCCTTTAAAAGATGGGCTGACTTTCAAATAAATCTATACGCACTTTTCGGTAGCAGGTATAGCACAAAATGGCTTTTTATCGTGATCTGGTTTCTTCAACCACAAGAAAAAGCCTCAGGCATTAACATAATGGAAAGCCAGCTTTATAGAAGAAACCCAGGACTGTTTTGAAATTTATGGTGAAATGAGAATATTACTTAATTCATTGATTAAGCCGTTTTTTAAAAATAAATTTCATAGATTAAGTTAATAGTTTCATTTTTATTGCAGAAACATTAAGTTCTATGAGATATGAGAGTATTTATGACTTGCGTTTTTTGTTTTCTAAATCAAATTTGCAGTGGGCATTCTGCACTAGATACCATTTAAGACATGATTGTTACCCTTAAGGAGCTCATTGTGTTTGCTTGGGAAGCAAAACCTAAACATTGGAAAAGTACAATGGCAATACAAGATAAAAGTCAATACAATGGCACAAGTTATCCTAAGATGGAACACAATGAATGTTGAAATCTCACTGGTGCAAACAGTAATTGCTGACCCAGTTCAGTTTAAACAGTATACTGCTCAGCCCATGGAGTGGTGTCACTCTTTTGTTACTCCATAGCCATTCAAGGTCTCTGGACCCATGGTGTGGCCCTCTTATAACTGACATTTGTGTTTTCATTGCAGTTGTCGGACAAGTAACCGAAAGAGTTTGATTGTGACCTCTAGCACATCACCTACACTACAGCGGCCGCACTCACCTCTCCATGGCCACACAGGTGAGTGCTTGAAGGTTAAGAAAGGTGAAATGAAAGAATGGCCGCAGATGCCCAGTTTCTTTCCCTCTTCTCACTTTGCACAGTTCAGCATATTACGTTGTCTCTTCACTCCGCTGACTGAAGCATGCAGAGCTCATGGGCATGCTTTCTATGGGAGAATGTGTTCAGTCTATTTTTGATTGTTAGTTGTTTCTTGCCTTGATCTGTCAACATTCCTTTTGGTCTTGTACATATCTTGGGGCCAGGTATGTATCCTGGGTCCACGGCCTCTGTTCTAGTGTGTATGGCTCCAGTCATTAGGGCCATGTGATGAGGGCTCCATTAATGTTCTGTCCTACCATGCCCAAGCATCAGGGCTCACAGAGACGGTTTTCTGCCTCATGGGACTCCTGATAACTTTCCCTCTATTGGAACAGGAGACAACAAAAGTGAGAGGAATATTTGTTTCATGTTGACATTGATTTCACATATTGGAATTGAAGCAAATGACCTCATGCATGCAGACTCTGCTCCACCTGGACCCATAGGCTCCTCCAGACAATATAAGGACTGATTTGCTTGACTCTAACTGAGGACTGTATAAACACTATGAGGGTGAAGACCTCATTTAGACATATATTTTGGTCTAGACATATAATTTTTGCATCTGAGGGGGCTCAGCTTTGCTCAAGGAGTTGCTGCACTGCTACACTGTCCATTACTACACTGTTTGCAGTGGAATTTCCAGATGCAGGGGTAATGGAAATGGAGCAGGCTTGAAACCATAGGAAGCTGTTTAGAGCTTGCTACCTGGGTTTGGTAAGCCATGAGCCTTGCTGTCTTTGGGCAATAAGAGAGTACCAAAGCAGTGAAAGAGTTTGACATCAAGCCAAGTAAGACAGATCTATTCCACTTGGAATGTCTCCTTGCTCACAGTTTACTGTGTCTTTGGAGGGAGAAAGTGAGGGTACATGTGGAGTAGTTGTTTGAGCACCCTGAGGGTCTGGTGATTCCGAAATTGATCTTTGTCTTTGGGAGAAGAGACACTTTACTGGGTTCAGATCCAGCCATTCAGTGTGCTCATGGCCCTTTTCCAAGAATCAGTAAAACTCAGACACTAACTCTCACATTGGAAGACACCACCAAGAGCACCGGGGGACCCAGGAGATTGGAGACCCACTGGGCCTTTAAAGCAAAGCTCTCATTTTGCTTAGATACTTTCCCCCCCAAAATTGACGGGTTATGTGTTAGATTAGGTAGCACATTCTACCCGGAACTTTGTAAAAATTCAGTTTATATCTGACCTAGATTTTTCATCATATGGAAATAAATTTAGCATGTCTAGACCTTCTACATAGTTTTATAGCTGTAATGTGAATACTGGGCAGTAATTACTACTGACTGCTGCCCTCTGAGATGATTATCTCTCTATTTAGATTCCTGACAGTTAGAGTTTAGGACTAAATCCCCCCTACCCAAGTGGCTTTGATTGAGAACATCATCTGGCCCTTTCAGCCTACCTGGGTCTGTGGACTCTATCTTAGAGTTAATATGTGTAACATGCTTAGTAGTCCATAAATGTTAGCTGTCATCGTTATCGTCTCTCCCCAAATCACTGCAGAACATCCAGGCAGGCCTCAGATCCAGGGAGGAAGAATTGACTTAAAAGCCCAATCATGGCTGTAGACTCTTTACTTACCCAGGTGTTGAGAAAGGCAGTGCTACTTGTTCCACACAGCTCAAACTTCACATCGTTTGAGAACTATATCCTCAAATCTTGCACATCCTGATATTTGGGTCCACATGAAGTTTTAAGACTCTTTAACTTTACTTTAAAGTCTGGAATCTGTTGACTAATAGGAGGCCTGTTGATTTGAAAGTAGGTCCATTTATTCCGTACAGTTCAGTTTGATATTAAATATTTATTATATATAAGTAAATTACAACTACAGTAAGGTCAGTTCGGTAGGTACTTACTCTGCCATTCTGGAAGTGGAACCTTCCTAGTTCGTTGTGTTTTTAAATTAATAAACTTTTTGTTTTAGAGCAATTTTAGATTCACAGCAGAATTGACCAGAAAGCATAGAGAGTTCCCATATACCATGTCCCCACATGTGCACGACTTCCCCCACCATCAATATCTCCCACCAGAGTGGTACGTTTGTTACAGTGAGTGAACCGACATTGACACATTCTCACCCAAAGTCCATAGTTTATATTAGGGTTCACGCTTGGTGTTATACATTCTATGGGCTGTGACATATCTATAATGACATGTATCTACCATTGTAGTATCAGAATACTACATAGTTTCGCTACCCTAAAAATCATCTGTGCTCTGCTGTTCATCCCTCCCTCTCCTGGGGAATCCACTAATCTTTTCACCACCTCCATAGTTTTGCCTTTTCTAGAATGTCATATAGTTGGAATCATACAGTACGTAGCCTTTTCATATTGGCTTATTTAACTTAGTAATATGTATTAAGCTTCCTCCATGATCTTATCAAGGCTTAATAGCTCGTTTCCTTTTAGTGCTGAATAATAGTCCATTGTCTGGATGCATCACAGTTTATGAAGGACATCTTGGTGCTTCTGAGTTTTGGCAATTATGAATAAAGCTATTATAAATATCTGTGTGCAGATTTTTGTGTGGACGTAAGTTTTCACTTCATTTGGGTAAATATAGAGCGTGATTGCTAGATCGGATGGCTAAGGATTTCATTTTATAAGAAACTGACAAACTGTCTTCCAAAATGGCTGTACCATTTTGCATTCCCACCAGCAACGAATGAAGGTGTCTGTTGCTCCACATCCTTGCTAGCATTTGGTGTTGTCACTGTTTTGGAATTTGACCATTCTAATAGGTGTATAATGGTACCTCATTGTTGGCTCAATTTGCATATCCCTAATGACATATGATGTTGAACATCTTTTCATATGCTTACTTGCCATCTGTATATCTTCTTTGATGAGGTGTCTGTTCAGATCTTTTGCCTATTTTTTAATCAGGTTGTTTATTTTTTGTTGTTGAGTTTTAAGTGTTCTTTGCATATTTTGGATAACAGTCCTTTATCAGATATATTTTACAAATATTTTTTTCTACTCTATGGCTTGTTTTCTCATTCTCTTTTGTAGAGCAGAAGTTTTTAATTTTAATGAAGACCAGCTTGTCAATTATTTCTTTCATGAATTGTACCTTTGGTGTTCATTGCCATAACCAAGGTCATCAGGGTTTTCTCCTATGTTATCTTCTAGGAGTTTTATAGTTTTGAGTTTTATGTTTAAGTCTGTGATTAATTTTGAGTTAACTTTTGAAATTTTAAAATTTGAGTTAATTTTTATGAAAGTGTCTGTTAGGTTCATTTTTTTACATGTGGATGTTTAGATGTTCCAGCACTGTTTATTGAAAAGATTGTCTTTTTCCCATTGTGTTGCTTTTGCTTCTTTGTCAAAAATCAATTGACTACATTTACGTGGGTCTATTTCTGGCTCTCTATTCTATTTCATTAATCTATTCTTTTTCTTGAAAGTCTTGACTACTGTAGCTTTATACTAAGTCTTGAAGTTGAGTAGTATCATTCCTCCAACTTTGTTGTTCTCCTTCAATATTGAGTTTGCTATTCTAGGTCTTTTGCTTCTCCGTATACACTTTAGAATCAGTTTGTTGATATCCATAAAATAATTTGCTGAGACTTTGATTGTGATTGCATTGAATCTATAGATCAAGTTGGGAAGAACTGACATCTTGACAATATTGAGTGTTTCTATCTATGAATATGAATATCTCTCCATTTATGTAGTTCTTCTGTGATACCTCTCATCAGAGTTTTGTAGTTTTCCTCATGTAGATCTTGTACACATTTTGTTAGATTTATACCTAACTATTTCATTTTTGGGCATGCTAATGTAAATGGAAATATGTTTTTAATTTCAAATTCCGCTTGTTCACTGATGGTGTATAGTAAACTATTGACTTTTGTACATTAACCTTGTATCTTGCAACCTTGCTCTAATTGCTTATTAGTTCTAGGAGGCTTTTTGTCGATTTTTTTGAGTTTTCTACATAGGCCATCATCATCTGTGAACAAAGACAGTTTTATTTCTCCCCCCAATCTGTATTCCTTTTATGTCCTTTTCTTATCCCATTGCATTAGCAAGGACTTTCAGTAAGATGGTGAAAAACAGTGGTAAGAAGGTACATCCATGCCATTTTCCTGAACTTGGCGGGAAAGCTTTGAGTTTCTCACCATTAAGTATGATGTTAGTGGTAGGTTTTTTGTAGATGTTCTTTATCAAGTTGAGGAATTTCCTTCTATTCCTAATTTGCTGAGAGATTTCTTTATCATGAATAAGTTTTGGATTTTGTCAAATGCTTTTTCTGCATCTGTTGATGTGATAATTTGATTTTCCTTCTTTAGCCTGTTGATGTGATGGATTACATTAACTGGTTTTCAAATGTTGTACCAGCCTTGCATACGTGGGATAAATCCCACTTGGTTATGGTATATAATTCCTTTTATGCATTGTTGGATTTGATTTGCTAATATTTTGTTGAGGATTTTGTGTTTGTGTTCATGAGAGATATTGGTCTGTGTTTTTCCTTTCTTGTAATGTCTTTGTTTGGTTTTGGTATTAGACAATGGTGGCCTCATAGAATAAGTTAAGTGTTCTCTCTGCTTGTATCCTCTGGAAGTGATTGCAGAGAATTGGTATAATTTCTTCCTGAACGTTTGGTAGAATTCACCAGTGAACCTATCTGGGCCTGGTGCTTTCTGTTTTGGAAGGTACTTAATTTGTGGTTAAATTTCTTTAAATAGATTTAGCCTGTTCAGATTATCTGTTTCTTCTTGTGTGAATTTTGGCAGATTTTGTTTTTTAAGGAATTAGTGTATTTAATCTAGCTTATTAAATTTATGAGCATAGATTGTTGATAATATTCTTTTATTACCTTTCAATGTCTATAGAAATCTGTAATGATATCCCCTCTTTCATTTCTGATGTTAGTGATTTGTGTCTTCTCTCTTTTTTTCTTAGTTAGCCTGACTACAGGCTTATCCATTTTGTTGATCTTTTCAAAGAACCAGCTTTTGGTTTTGTTCATTTTCTCTGTTGATTTCTTGTTTTCAAGTTCATTGATTTGTGTTCTAGTATTTATTATTTCTATTCAATCTGCTTACTTTGAGTTTAATTTGCTCTTTTTCTGGTTTCTTAAGGTGTAAGGCAGGTCTGCTGGTGACAGATTCCCTCAATTTGTTTGTCTGAGAAATCTTTATTTCTTCTTCCCTTTGGAAGGATAGTTTTGCAGGGTACAGAATTTTAAGTTGGTGAGGTTTCCCCCCACCACCGCTTTTTTTTCCTCCCCAAAGCCCCAGTACATAGTTGTATATCTTAGTTCTAAGTCCTTATAGTTCTCTGTGGGATACCACCGAAGCATGGCTTGATGAGCACTGTGTAGGTCCACGCCCATGATCCAAACCAGCAAACCCCAGGCTGCCAAAGCAGAGAGAACAAACTTAACCATTACGCCACTAGGCTGACCTCTGAACACTTTTAAATATTTTACTCCACTCTCTTCTTGCTTGCATGGTTTCTGAGAAGTCAGGTATAATTCTTATCTTTGCTCCTCTATAGGTAATGTTTTTTCCCCCTCTGGCTTCTTTCAGGATTTTTTCTTTATCTTTGATTTTCTGAAGTTTGAATATCACATGCCTAGGTATAGTTTTATGGCATTTAATCCTGCTTGCTGTTCTGTAAGCTTCCTGGATCTGTGTTTCAGTGTCTGACATTAATGTGGGGAAGTTCTCAGTCATTATGGTTTCAAATATTTCTTCTATTTCTTTCTTTATTTTTTCTCCTTCTGGTATTCCCATTACATATATGTTACATCTTTTGTAGTTGTCCCACATTCTTGGATATTCTGTTCTATTTATTTCAGGGCCGTTTTTTTTCTCTTTGCTTTTTAGTTTTGTCAGTTCTAGTGTCATATCCTCAAGGTCAGAGATTCTTTTCTCAGCTGTGTCAGTTCTACTAATGAAGCCTTCAAAGGCATTCTTCATGCTGTTACAATGTTTTTCACCTCCAACATTTCTTTTTGATTCTTTCTTAGAATTTCCGTCTCTGCTTACTTTATCCATCTGCTCTTGCATGTTGCCTACTTTTTCCATTAAAGCCCTTAGCATATTTATCATAGATTAAAAAAGAAATTCTTGCTCTGATAATTCCAGTATTTCTGTCATATCTGACTCTGGTTCTGAGACTTGGTTTTCTCACATATTTACTGTGAGGACCTGGTAGAACTTCTATATGTAAAATTCACAATAGTGTGAGGACGCTTCTATGACTGCATCCCCCAGGGGTTTTTAATGCTCAAATTTGTGCACGGTGCACCTCCAGCAATTCATTTTTTATAGGTCAGGTTTTCCTACCTTGGCACTGGTTCCCGTGGAGGTTTCTACTCATGGGTTTCTGCTCGGGTACGTTGTGATTCTCCGTATCCACCTGTCTGTCTCTCTTGTTCAGGGGGCAGCGGTTTGCTCCGTGACTTCACTTCCCTCACGGATCTAAGAAGAATTGTTTGTTTTTCAGCTTGTTCAGCTTTTTGCTTGTTGTTAGGATGGAGCAGCAACCTCTAAACTCCGGACCCACCAGACCAGAAACCAGAAGTTAGTTCATTTGTTTTATTGCCTATAGAGTATCTATTGTGTGACTCTACCACAGTGTATGGATTTATTTTATTATTGATGAACATTGTATCGCCCTGGGCCTAATCAGGAGACAGAAATCGCACAGTGGCTTAAACAGGTGAAGTGTAATAGAATTATTAACTAGAACAATAAAAGAGTAATTTTAAGATGTAAGAGAACTCTATAAAGGTGCCATAGAGCTTTGGAAAAGTACCTAGGGAAGAACAAACCTTGTAGGAAGGCTCTCTCAACTGGATTCAGACCTTGTTAGAGAAGGTGTAGTTGCAGCCCCCTGGATGGCAGAGATGTGTGCTGGTTTGCCCAGGCCAGAGCTGATGCACCGACAGGGAACAATCAGGAAGCAGCCCTCTGGAGCACTGGCAAGCCACAACCAGTGTGCAGGCCTGCACAGAAAGTGGAGGTGCCGCTGTGAGTAGGAGGCATGACGTGTCTTTTAAGCCTCAGAAACGAAATGGAAGACAAACCCCAGGGTGTGGAGTGTGGAACAGACCAGAGGGAACCAGAGCACCAGTGTGGGCGTGCCTGGAGCACACAGTGTGCTTGCTGTGGAAAGGGGATCACCAGTTCAGCATAGGGGTACAAGGTTGCCACCGTGTGACTGGGTCCGAGCATCCCTGCACGTCTCACTCCCACACCACTGACTGATGATGCAGTTGCTGAAACTGCACCGAGAGCCTCTTCCTTCAGTGTCCCTCTAGCACCTCCTACTGAGAAAGTTTAACATTGTGCTTGCTGTAAAGGAAAATTGCTTAAAGGAACTCTCTCCTTTATCACAGAGCTGGTATTGAAGGATGAATTTGGAGTTGAGGTATTAATTGGTAAAGAGTACAGACATTTAGATTGTTTTCAGTTTTTCACAGTTATAGTCAATTCTGCAACAAGCATGCTTCCTCATATTCTTTTTTTTTTTTAAAAGATTTTATTTTTTTTCCTTTTTCTCCCCAAAGCCCCCCGGTACATAGTTGTGTATTCTTCGTTGTGGGTCCTTCTAGTTGTGGCATGTGGGACGCTGCCTCAGCGTGGCTTGATGAGCAGTGCCATGTCCGCGCCCAGGATTCGAACCAACGAAACACTGGGCCGCCTGCAGCAGAGCGTGCGAACTTAACCGCTTGGCCACAGGGCCAGCCCCCCTCATATTCTTTTTATATATATGTACAAAGACTGTCTAGGATTTATATGTAGGCATGGAATTGCTGAGTCATGGAATATACTGTATTAATTTTCAGAATAAGATTAACAGGTCAGTGGGCATGTGTATTTAATATGATGTTTGTTATATATCATCTGATTTTAAACTAGTATACTGGGACTAGGAGTATGTCTTTCTTAAGCCTTCAGCCCCTGTCACCCAGGGTCAAGAGCAAGCCCCACTAATCCACTCCTCTTTACTCCCTAACGCTTATAGCCTCCTCATCTCTATCTGCCTTGAATCCACTAGGGCTGATTTCATTATCCCTTATCCCTGTTTATGTCAGTCCACACAGGAACCCCCATGTACCTGTCCCTCCCATCTCCTACACTCTTAATTCGTATAAATCTCTGTCCCTTTTTCTCATCCCTCTCTGACTCTTGAAACCCTTACAGTATACTTCCTGGAATTCATAGTCCATTATCAGAAAAACCTCCTATATGCTTAATCTTGTTCTGATGGAATCCCGGGAGTGAGGGAGGGGTTAGAACACTGGTTGTCCTACAGCCTTCTCAAGTGTTAGCTCTTGCCTGCCCTATAACTTTATACCATTGGGCCTGAAAGCACAAGTAGGTGTCCTCCTTGTCTTTTCGTTATTCTCTCTCTCTTCTTTCTAATACTCCAACACCTTGAATCTTATACAATTAAATTATATCACTTACTACCTACTGTTGCAGCTGTAAATATCTTAGCTCTTGATTACTGTTGCTCTTCAGTTCTTCCTCTCTTGTTCTTGATGATTTCGATACACTCATAGTTGATCTTTTCAGTTCTTAGGACTTTCAGTTCTTGGAACTCCTGTTTTCCAGTGAGCTTCTCTTCCATGCCACCTGAGTCACTTATGCCCTACACCTATAGTTTAGACCTCACCTCCATAATTTTACTTTCATTCTTCCTGCCCTTTAGCACTACCTCCAGACTTTCTGCCTTGTGCCATCTAGAATCCTCATCCCCCCAAAAACAATCATTTGATTCCAGGACTTCCAATCCTTTGAGACCCTTAAATATATTAAGTTTGAGATGCCTTCTAGACACCAGTGTGCGCAATTCAATATATTAGTCTTGATTTCAAGAGAGGAGTAGGGCTGGAGAGTATCTGGAAGAGAACATGAGGAGCAGGATACCTCCCTGACCTCTAGGCCCAGTGTTACAAAGGAGTGTGTGAAAGCAAACAGTCCTCTCTTAAGAGAGCTGCAGGGGAAGCAGTGTCCACAGGGGACAGTCAACGTTCACCTACTACGTAAAGGGCTGTACTGTATATATGTCCCGGGTGCTTGGGAGTACAAAAATAAGGATACACTGGCAGCTAGAACACCAGTTAAGAGGCTGTTGCCATTGTCACGATGTGAGGGAGTGTTATAAATGGAGAAAATATATGAATATGAGAAAAAATTATAAGGTTAAGTCAGCAGGTATTAGAATTGATTGTCTCCAGATTTCCTGCTTGGGTGATTAATGAGTGATGATACCCTTAACTTAAAAAAGGAATATTGAAGGGAAGAATAAATATAGGGGAAGGAAAAAGAAGATTCCAGAAATAAATCCATACATATATGGCCACTTGATTTATGACAGAAGTGACACTAGGAAAATTGGGTGTCCATATGGAGAAATTGAAAGACTTAGCTCTTACTTCACAAAAATCAATTCCAGATGAATTGTAGATTTTTTTTCAGTGTTGGTAAGGTATAATTGACAAATAAAATTGTAAGATATTTAAAGTGTACAATGTGATGATTTGATACATGAATTGTAGATTTAAATGTGAAAGATAAAATACTAAACTTTTAGAAGGTACACAGGAGAATACCTTTTGGGGGGGGCATCAGCATGAGGAAGATTGGCCTTGAGCCAACATCTGTTGCCAATCTTCCTCATTTTGCTTGAGGAAGATTATTCCTGAGCTATATCTGTGCCAATCCTCCTCCACTTGTATGTGGGATGCCGCCACAGCATGGCCTGACAAGCAGTATGCAGGTCTGCACCTGGGATCCAAACCCACAAACCCCAGGCCGCCAAAGTGGATCATGCAAACCCAACCACTACGCCACTGGACTGGCTCAATATACCTTCATTTTTTAAAAGGGCATGAAAAGCTTAATAAATTTGACTACGTTAAAATTAAAAATTTCTAGTCATCAAAAGATATCATGAAAAGGCAACCACAAAGTGGGAGAAGATAATTATAACACTTAAAACTGACAAAGAGGGGCCGGCCTAGTGGCGCAGTGGTTGGCACATTGTGCTTCTGCAGCTGAGGGTTTGCTGGTTTGGATCCTGGGTGCAGACGTGGCACCGCTTGGCAGGCCATGCTGTGGCAGGTGTCCCACATATGAAGTAGAGGAAGATGGGCATGGATGTTGGCTCAGGGCTGGTCTTCCTCAGCAAAAGGAGGAGGATTGGCAGCAGATATTAGCTCAGGGCTAATCTTCAAAAAAATTTAAAAAATAAAACTGACAAAGGGCTTGGATTCAGAACATTTAAAGAACTCCAGCAAACAAGAAAATAAAAAGATAATATGACTGAAAAATGGCTAAGAGACGTAAGCAATCCAAATGGCTAATCAATACATGAAAAAAATACTTTAATCTCATTGTTAATTATGGAAATGCAAAATAAAATCACAGTGAGATACCATTATACATGAAAAGTGGCTTAAAGTGACAAAACCAAGTGTGCATAAGTATATGAAACAGTGGGAACCCTTAAGCATTAATGGTAGAAGTATGAATTGGTACAACCATTTTGCAAAAACAGTTTGGCATTTTCTTATATAAAGTTTAAAAATAGACAAACTAGACAACAAAAGATCACTTACTATATGATTCCACTTCTATGAAATGTCCAGGTTAAGCAATTCCATAGGAACAGAAAGTAGACTAGTGGTTGCCAGGGGATTAGGGGAGAGGGGAGTGAGAAGTGACTACTAACAGCTTAGTTTCCTTTTGGAGTAATGAAAATGTTCTGGAAGTAGATAGTGATGATGATTGCACAACTTTGTGAATATACTGAAAACCGCTCAACTGTACACTTTAAAAGGGTGAATTTTATGATATGTGAATTATATGTCAGTTTTTTAAATTGTATGAGAAAAAACTAAACTTGAGTATTTAGAGATACATACTTAGTTGGTAAAGCTATGAGGAAATGATTGCCATAGAAGCGAGGGTAATATTTGCCTTTATTGGGAAGGGGAGGGGTTTGACTGGAAGGATTATGTAGAGGGATTTTGAAAGATGGCATTGTTAATCTGGATAGTGTTTACACAGGTGCTTGCTATATAATTACATTCATTTATAACTAGTTAAACTGTGTAAGTGAAGCAACTGGTTCAAGGTCAACTGCTCTCAGTTCTGTTGGTTTGTTTATTTCATTATAACTCATTTCTCTGGGTTGGGTGATTACTTGCCTTTGAACTGTCTTCTCCAACTGCTAAACTGCTTGGTAAAGTTGAAAATTTCAGGCCTGCTTGCTGGGTTGCTGGGTTTTGTTTCAGATTTTTTGTCCTTTTGAGTCATTTCTGGCTGTTTTTAAGAAAGAGTTCTTCTCAATGGTGTGATTTTTCTGGAGTCAGAACTGTGAATGTAAGTAAGTAATAAGAATCAGTTTAAATATTTTCTTCAAAATGTTAATATTCTAACATCTTAATCTTCCCCCAAAACAAGACCAATTCCAATTATTGATTTTATTGTCACTACCTTCATATTAATAATTTTGGCCTTTTTAAGGTAAAATGAATATTGGAGAAGTGGAGAAAACACAGTAAAGATAGCACAGACTTTTTAGGACTTAACATATGTGGTATAATAAACAATTTCTCTGGTCTTTATCCCAAGTTTCTGGCACAGCGCTTAGAAAAACCTTGGAATTTTCTGAGTGATAAGAGTGGTGTCTTTGTTATGCTAATGAGGCAACTCAGGGTGGCCCCCTAGACAGCTTCTGGATGGAGGCTGGTCACTAGGAAGACCAGCCGCATGATTAGAAACTTGGGACTTTGGACCAGCCCGACATCCTGGGGAGGGGATAGGAACTGGAGATGGAGTTCAGCGCTGCAGCCAATGATTTAATCGGTTATGCCTATGTAGGGAAACCGCAATGGAAACTATAGGTGTACCAGAGCTCAGAGTAAGAGCTTCCTGGTTTATGTGCTGAGAGGGTGACACACCCTGATTTCAC